ACTCTCTGTAACACTTTTTAATATAAAGATTAACAACATAATTAAAAACATTAATACTGGAACAGAATGTGCCATATACGTAGACGATCTAATGATATGCTATAGAGCAAAATATATGCGCACAATTGAAAGGCAACTGCAACTAAGCCTAAACAAAATTAATAAGTGGGCTACAAATAATGGATTTAGTTTTTCTAAAGAGAAAACCAAGTATATGCATTTTTGCCAACATCGTAAAATGCATAATGATCCTATATTGAAACTTGGTAAGGACACAATAACCGGGGTTAAACAATATAAATACCTCGGTATTATCTTTGACAAAAAACTCACTTTCATATCACATGTTAAGTACCTGAGGAAAAAGTGTAACAAATCTATCCAACTACTGAGAGTCATAGCTCATACAAACTGGGGAGCTGATAAAAATAAACTTCTGAAACTCTATCGAACACTAATAAGATCCAAATTGGATTATTGCTGTTTCATTTATGGATCGACAAGGAAATCATATATCAAAGAGTTGAACACTATCCATCACCAAGGGCTAAGACCAGTAATAGGAGCATTTGCCACTACCCCAGTCAAGAGCCTGTACGTAGAGACACATGAACCACCACTGGTAATGAGAAGAGGAAAATTGGCATTACAATATTATATCAAATTCGCATCATGTCCCTCAAATCTTACATACAAGTGCGTCTTTCAGCCACAACATAGAGTTTTGTTTGGAAAAAAAGAAAAGGCCCTCAAACCATATGGACTACGGACTAAACAAGCTAAAGATGAAGCCGAAATAGATATATATCCATAATTCACAAATCTGTTAACCTGAAAAACCCACCTTGGTTGGCAAAACAACCAACAATAATACTTGACTTAATCAAGTACTCAAAAGCAAAAACCAACCCAATTATATACCATGAAGAGCTTCAAAGTATTAAAGACAAATACCAAAACCACATGGAAATATATACAGATGGATCCAAAGTTGGAGATAAAGTTACATGTGCTGCAGTGCACAACAAAGACAAACTATTAAAAAGACTCCCTGATAAAGCATCAATTTACAGTGCTGAAGCATCAGCCATAGAACTGGCATTGAATATAATTGAAAACAGTGAAGAAAAGAAACACATCATCTTTACAGATAAGAATTCAGTACTAACTGCATTGGAAAATAGAAAAACACACAACCCTTTAACAACTAAAATCCTAAACAAGATCGATGTAATTACTAAAAATAAAGAAATAGTCTTCTGCTGGGTACCCAGTCATATCGGTATAAAGGGGAATCACAAAGCTGATCAGGCAGCAAAAAAGCACTAGGACTGGAACCCTCAAAAGATAAAATTCCCTTCACAGACCTAATAGCAACAATTAACAAACATCAAATGAACAAATGGCAAGAATCATGGAATTCTTACACCAATAACAAATTACATGCAATAAAGGAACAAATTGGGGAAATAAATGACTACAGTGAAATGACTAGAAAAGAACATTATCAAGACTCCGTATGGCCCACTCGAGCATCACCCATTCTTACCTCCTTAAGAAGGAGGCAGCTCCAATATGTATACAATGCCAGAAGGCTTATACAATATGTCACATTTTGACAAATTGTTTAGACTTGAAGCAAACTCGCCAAAGGTACTACAAAGAAACAAACCCGAAAGAAATATTCCTCCAAGTAAAACCTTCAAAAATACTTGAATATATAAGAGAAACTGGTCTCTATAACAAAATCTAGAAGAGATTGGGATAAACACAAATATATAAAGATATATACCTCCATGAAATTGCTTACTTCAAGATGCCTACTCAAACAAAGAAACACATTTAACTTAAGATTCTTTAAAGTCACTCAAACCCATTTTCGGCATAAAATGACCACTAAGGTTGAGATGCCGTTAAACAAAACAATCAATCAATCAATCAATCGTTTCCATTTTTTTTTTTTTTTTTGCTGGACTTGTGATCGTCACCTGTCCCTATAAAATATATCATAATTCAGAAATACGGTATATTTCCAACAACCTGTGTGGTTATTTATTATTTCGGGGATTTTTATTCTTCTTAATGCTTTTTAAATTATTCGCCTGTATTCTACACCAACAGTGTTACATATATATAAAACACCTTTGGAAATCAGCCGAAAGTAAACATATAATTTGGCTAAGCAGAACTAACTTGTACTGCCATAAACTTGACAATAATCGGAACATAATGACTACGTAAATAAAGTATCAGGCCTCGGATGAAAAAAGCTAAAGGATATAATTATTATATACGACGTACAAGTCGTCCGATTCAGTCAAAGGTGGCGAGGATTGGTTGATATAAATGATGACGAGAATAACATAAGGATATAACAATGAATTAATAACTGCGTACTATTACAAAGCGAGAAAAGGGGGAAAAATGTAATACGCAGTTATCAAGAACGTGAGCAGAGTTTCAAGTCTGACATTTATAAATAAAAATAAAGTACATATTTACGAAGTAGGGGATTGATTTACCAATGTATTTATGTTATTATAATGGCAAAAGCACGCAGGTGTAGGCTTTAAGAAAGCTTTTTTTTTCAACTGAGAATACAAGCTTCGCGTATACTGTCCTTTTATAGTACCAGTAAACAGAAATAGCTATCTCAAAGAGGAGAGTAACAAAGCAAGGTGAGAACGTTCTTGATAATTCATTACAAACATCTCCCACTTCTAAAATGATAAAAGTAAATATATTTTATTCTGATAAATGTCGTAGCATTGGAAAGGTCTATTGTATGCTAATCTGTAAAAAAAAAACATGGACATCTATATTTTACAGGTGGACCAGTCAATTCAAATACTGCCAAAGTTTTTCTAAGTAGAATAACATCACAAAAGTTATTTATCGCCATAATTTAATAGATAATAATAATATAACATAATAATATCGATAAAATACTCATAAAGCTGTTTTGATATCAAATTCTGATAATATTATGGTTAAATTTGAATGAAATTTAAACAAATTTGGTTTGGTTAGCGACATATCAACACCTCTATAGATTATTTAATGCTGAAACCTCATTAATTTGAACGCAAGTATATGCTTTCAATTACAGATAATGATGGTATTTTAATATAAATAAGTATTGATGATAATTTAACTATAAATAAGCATTGTTTGTAATTTTACTATAAATGTTGTTGGTAATTTTACTACTAAAATGTATTGCTGTCATTTTACTATAAAAATATTATACACACACACACACATATATATATATATATATATATATATATATATATATATATATATATATATATATATATATATATATATATATATATATATATATATACATACTTTCATAGTGTTTTGTTTTTTGTTTGGAGATTCACTATTTGTCCATAGCTGGGACTTTAACAAGTGCTACCACCCCGGGTCAGGGTGGACCTTGGTGCAACACCAATTGAGAGGTAATTTGAACCGGACATTTTTAAACGCAACCTATTAGAGTAATGATGAATATGATATCGGTGCTGATAAAAAAAAAGAAAAAAAATTCAAGTGAAATCGCTAATGGTGCATAAGTGTCGCAAATATCTACTTAATTAATTTCTGCGAGAATAGGCAAAAAACAATCCACCAGAAATTTAAAAGCAATTTAAATGAACTTAACTTTCATTATTCCATGAATAAATTTCTTGTTTTTTTTTTTTACATTTTCTAATGTTCATCTTTTCTTAAAAGGAAATTTATAAAAGAGGCCCCGAAAATAAGAACCGAGTTCATTACTTGTGCCCGGGTTTACTCCTAATATCATTTCGACCAGAAAACTAATTATATTCTTATCTTCCTGATAATGGACGCACACGTTTGCCAGTAGCCTAATAAACTTACACAGAGTTACGGCAAAATGTTCGGCAAATTACTTTTCAAAATTAATTAAAAGTAAATGAAAAATGCAGAAAACCCGAAGTCTTTTTCGACACCCACCATATTCAGGAAAGAGTAATTAAAAGTGTGATCGCGGAATTTTAATTGTTCACGCCTCACTGAATTAAATATATATTAAACATACGTTTAAATCCCAAGAGACTAGTTTTTTTTTTGTTTGTTTGTTTAGCGGCATATCAACTTTTATGGGTTATTTAATGTCAAAATCTAAACATCTTTTGTATACAATTTTATTTTTGGAGGTAATAATGGTTTAGTGATACAAGTCTCACTAATTAACCCATAGCTGGGGGGAGAAGAGGTGGATTCATGGCTTCCCCAAGTGTATTTGCGCTTAAGTAACGAACCCGATTAGAATTGGAACTCGGCTCTCCGATTAAAAATTCCGAGTCATTATCCGTTACACAACCCACACGTCCAAGTTGACAGCGCCTTGTATCCCCAAACGGTACTGACTAGGCTCGACGTTGCTTAACTTCGGTGATCGTACGGAAACCGATATTTCAAAGTGATGTGGCCGTACGCTCCAAGTGACTAGGGACTTTACAAATTACAGAGAGTTTACAAAGTTTAGAAATATGATCTTACTGGCCGCTTTTCAAGATGCCTTCGATGCAGTTTTAAATCTGGGGAAAAGAGTTCCGTACATATGTCTTTTGTAATGGTGAAAGTTATCGATTTCATTACATTTACGATCACGAGACCCGTAACCCATTAGGTTTGTAGGGGCCATGTACTGCATCCGCAGAAGCAGTTGTGTTGCTTGGAAAAGATAGCCTGACGGAGCCCAGCCTTCTCCAGGCTTTTTTTCGATTCAAAGTTTTTTCTTCTCCTAAACCGGTTGCCACCCAAGGCTATAGGACAAAATCTGTCCTGCTATTTACACAGAGCTCAGGGTTGGGGGGAAAGATGGATTCATACCTCTTCAAGAGTATTTGAACTTAAGTGAATGTAACTCGGCCCTCCGAATCCATAGAATTGAAATATTAAGTGTATATACATACATACATACATACACGTAAATATACATACTCATTCAGATAGATATCTAGATAAATTTTCTTCTTCTTCTTCTTCTTCTTCTTCTTCTTCTTCGCCTCCTCCTCCTTCCCTCCTTCTTCTTCTTCTTCTTCTCCTTCTTCTTCTCCTCCTCCTCCTTCTTCTTCTTCTTCTTCCCCTCCTCCTCCTTCCCTCCTTCTTCTTCTCCTCCTTCTTCTCCTCCTTCTTCTTCTTCTCCTCCTCCTTCCCCTCCTCCTCCCCCTTCTTCTTCTTCTTCTTCTTCTTCTTCTTCTTCTATGTGCCTCGGGATCATGTAAATGTTTTGCAGAACAGGGTTAGTTCGAAGGCAAACCGTACTAAAAGTACAAGAAGTTTCTGTACTTTTAGTGAGGTCTGCCTTTTAGCTATCCCTGTTCTGCAAAACATTTAAATGATGATGTTTGCCGCTATCTCCTTTCTTCCTGCCTTCAATATGTCCTCTCTGTGTCAGAATTTCCAAGCAGTATTTCCTTTGAGGCGTTTTACTCCGAAAGTTTATTCCCAAGAACAGCTACATTGTGGAATAGACACTCGATTGCTTGCTTCTACAATTTTAACCTCTTCAAGTCTAGTGTTATTCGTTATCTATCCGCCATATCCTCGTAATTTTCCCGTCTTACTTCATCCTCCTATGCTCATATCACACACTTTATTCACTAGCCTTCTATTTTCAATAATTCTTCATGTTATTAAATGATTGATTGATATGTTAAGGTTTATCAACCCTTTTACGGAAAATACTATTTTTAGATCGTTAAATCTTTTTGGAGACAATGATGATTTACCAATAGAATTCCTCATAATTAACCCAAAGTTGAGGGTGGGAGAAAAGAAGTAGATTCATATTTTTTCCAAGAATATTTGCGTGTAAGTGAATATAACAAATCCGACTCGAATTTGAACCCTAACCCTCCGATTGACTATTCAGTGCCATTATCTATTACATTGCCCGCACATTCAAGCTTGAAACACCTGGTATTCCAAACCGATATACGTACTGACCAGGCTCGGCGTTGCTTACCTTCAGTGATCGGACGAGAACCTGTGTTTCAACGGAATATGGTCGTAAGCCTGAATAGCTCTTAAGCTTTGTATTGCGTGACTATTAGTTTGAACAAAGAGCTAGGTATTTTTGTTTTGCATACTAATATTCCCTCAATACAAGGCCCAAGAGACTGTCAAGGTAGAGGCTTACTGTGTGGTTGTGTATTAGCGTAAGAAAGGGTAAGAAGTGAAGTTCTTGGGTCAATGCAGTAAAGATAACAGCTAACTATAAACTTGATGATGTCAAGATTTAATTAAGGAATAACATTTCACAGTTCAGTCGTATCGGTTAGATTCTCCGCTTAACGACCGGGTGGAATACCTCAGCGTGGTGTAATGGCTAGCAAGCTTGTCTCACTAGATCAGTTACGACTGAAAAGTGAGATCAATCCTCACTAGGTGTCCTATACTTTCGGCCTTGTGCCACACATGAGCTACACAGAAAATAATCTTAAATACCGGACGATAGGAGAATCTCTCTACTCATATTGAGGGAGAGAAAAATAGTGAATAAAATTTCATGTGGTGACTTTAGAAGTATAGCGTTGAATTAGACTTTGAAAGGAATCGGAAACCCAAACCTAAACCGGAAACAAGGGATAAACCTCAATTCCTGTTCCAAAGACCAGGAAGGCCTTGTTGTATATGGTAAATAAATCCGGTCAGAATTGTATCCTTGTTTTACACTCTCTTCTTTTGTGTATATTTGCTTAATTCATTCTCGGTCTATATGCAGTTGCTTTGTTCCTAATAGGTGTTTTGAATTATTCTAATATATTTCCTGATTAAATCAAGTTTTCCTAGAAGTTCAAATAGATCTTTGTCTTGCACTATCTCAAATGTTTTTGCATAGTCTAAGAAACGTAAGTCTCTCTGCATACGTTTGGCTCACTTTGATATCCTTTTGATCATAATTTCGTATTTCTGTAAATGTTTTAAAATTATGCGTAAAATACAAATCATTTGTTTTGTTTATTTCCCTAAAGTTCACCCAATACAAGGCCCAAGTGCCGTTCAAGGTAGAGGGTTACTGTATGGAGTTGTATTAGAGTAAGGAGGTGCAAGATAACAGGAAATATACACAGCGAATTCAAGACTTGAAGTGGTCGAGTTTTAATTAGCGTTCAGGGAGAAACATTAGGAGTATAGATTTGAAATAGACTTTGAAAGGAACCGGAAACCCAATCCTAAACCAGAAACAAGAAATAAACCTACTCGTTTTCAAAAGCATGTCAATTCTTTTATCCCACGCTGATATCCGTTACACTAACCAGACATCCCATTGCTGTATATTAAATAATCTTATAAAAAAAAGTATGCTAGTTTTCGAATAACTTCAGTAAGAATCCCCGCCATTTACGGCTCGCCCGACTCCTGCACAATGTCAGCTATACTGTAATTCTACAAATTGAGAAACGGACAAGCAAAGTTTGCTTTGCCGTTATACAGACTAGATAGAGAATTAAATTAACACTAATGTAGATAAATTAACGAAAACTCCCGCACAGTACTACACAGTTTGGTATATTTGCAAGAAACATCAAGTTCTCAAATGTGTTATTTGGCTTGAAGCCAAAGCCAGCGGGCATTTATCATTCTGCCTGTGTGTGGCGTGTGACTTCCTTCATATCAAAGATATTACTCAAGGAATTTGCAAAACAGAAAGCAAAAAGCTTCCCACTTTGTACATACACGTTCGCCTTCATAAACTCGGAACCAATTAACATATGCCATTCATTACCATCTGGAATAAGAATTTACAAGATGCAGTTTTACGCAAGGTTCATATTTTCTGAAACTGACTACAAAGATAGCTCAGTGGTAACTGCGCCGACTCAAAGAAGCTGATTCAATCGTTAGAATTCGGATTTTTCTTGTCCGACATGGAGAGTTCATAGTCGCTCAGATAATCTCATAGGCCAGAAAAAACTACTTTGAAGCCAAACCAGTGTATGGCAACTTCAAACTACAGTTACTAGGCACAGAAGTTACTTTGCTGAAAATTTGCATCTCCGTGAGGGCAATATGTTGAATGCCGAATTTAAAATATGGCCATCCGATTTTGAAAAGGTGGTTTTCTTAGCGTAGCTTAGATGTAGCAAAAGGCTGGAAGTATGGGATACCCAGTAAGGATCGAACTCACTATTCGAATTTTTAAATGAATGTGCATATTCTCTTTTGAAAAATGGTGTTTGAAATTAGTTATTGAAAAAATATTTAAAATGAAGAAAAAACAACTGAAATTTCTGGGCACGTTATGAGAAAAGAAAGATTGGAAAATTTAATTCTCACAAGGCGTATTGAAAGATGTACAGATATAAAGGAACTCCAAGCAACTTACCTAATGACCAATGACAGCACGGATAAGAAGTAATGGTAAATAGTCAAATGTTGTTTAAAACAACAATAGACTGAAAGTTGTGAAAAACCATAATTGTCCACGTCATGAATGGACACAGTATATACATATCCGTCGTTTCACTTATATTAATTTGTTTTTTTTTATAATCAATTCCTCTCAAGCAAAGACATAATGCTACTAAAATACAGTTGATTACTGGGAGTAAAAGAGAATTAGAGGAATTTAGTGAGAAGAAAGGACAATAAAAAGAATAGGTCCAGAAAGATAGAAGACGGCAATTGACGTTGCATTTAAATTTTAGAGGATTTTAGGCGGCAAAGATCAAGAAACAGGAACATAGCTCCATAAGTGCGAGAAAAGAAGCTATTAGAATAGAACTTACCCTTACATCTAGCGATTTCAACAGTAAAACTATGATCTAGCTGACATTCATGCGATCGATGTACCAAGGAGAGCTCATTATAGTGATTTTCCAAGCGTAGCTTAGATGTGGCCGAAAGTAAGGGGCATTCGGTGAGGATCGAACTCACTACTCAGTTGTAATTGTTCTAGTGAGACAAGCTTGCTGACAATTACATCGTCTGGAAGTACCCCAGTGATTTTCCAAGCGTAGCTTAGATGTGACACAAAGCCGAAAGTAGGGGGCACCCAGTGAGGATCGAAGTCACTACTTAGTCGTAATTATTCTAGCGAGACAAACTTGCTGACCATTTAGTCTCGAGGTGCCTAAGGAGAGGTCATTATAACAAACGCCATGAAATTACAAAAGTGAAGTCACATCATAGAAATTGACTGAAGTTGAGATGCCGAATCCGATTCGGTAAGATTAGAGACCCTTCGTTGGATTTGTGTCTCTAGATAACTAACCAGAGCACCTGATGAAATATGGCAGAAATATTCAATCCACAGACGAATGGTTGATTTATAAATGTGCAAGATGGATTCTAGCGAGGAAAATTGTCTAGCACGGCAGTATGAAGAAACTTTCCTAGCAGAAGACCTCGTATTTAATTCGATATCATATAAAAATTTCAAGTTTTAGGTAATAATGTCCTCGAAGGTCAACTATAATGACATTGGCAATTAGGATATATCAAATAGAAGCCGTAAAGTGCTTCCGTTAATGTAAGGTCAAGACCCGTAACCCATTGCAATCGTGGAGGTACTACATGTACCACCGCCGCAGTAGCAGTGGTGTTTCCAGGAAAAGATAGCCTGATATAGCCCAACCCTCTCCAGAGTGGTTTTACATTCAGAGTTGCTGTTCTATTAAACCGGTTGTCACCCAAAACTATAGGAAAAAGTCTGCCCTGCTATTTACACATAGCTGAGAATGTCTCTTCAGGATCTGAGAAATCATGGTTCTCCACAACTATTTTAGAATGTTTCTGCCGCATATGGTCAACTGCTAGAGTTATTTGATAAAATCCAACGAAGAATCAGCAACATTAATGGTCCTGATCTAGCGTCTCGGCTTCAGTCACTTTCCCACCGCCATAACGTCGCTTTCCTTTTATCTTTTCTATAAATATTTCCATAGTAATTGTTCGGAATAGTCTTCGCTATTGAAGAAGACCGTCCTTCTCCCCATTCCTCAGTTTGGCTTTCTGCCACTTTTTGTAATTTTTAATAAGAAATATCGCTCTTCGCTATTGTACTTCGAGACATTTTGAATTGAAACGCAGTACTTGACAAGCGACGAGGTCTCAACAAATTTACAAAAGAGCTGGCTAGATGTAAACGTGAGTTCCAGGCTGACAGTTTCTTTTCTCGCACTTCTTGCTTATGGAACACCCTTCCGGCTCCATGCTTTCCAGCCAATTTTTATCTTCAAAAATGTAAATGAACTTTCAATCGCTCTCTACTCTCCTT